TAGTATTTTCGAAGATTTCAGTACCTAAAGCCTTGATGGTTTGATCGTTTTTTGTACCTGTTTATTCGTTTTACTGCGGCGTCTTTGAAAATAACCAGATGGCATGACATAACATTCCTATTATTTGATTAGCTTTAGATTATTCAGTTATTAAATGTTTGAAATTATTTGTCTTTGCGGAAAACACTATTTAAAGAATATGGGGCCCTTAAACAAAAAATTCAGGAAGCTGTTGCCTCCATATATGAAGAAATTATATCGTCTGTGTGCAAGGAATTTAAAAAAGTATTAGGAAAATGTGTATTACTTGGAGGTTTACAAATTGAATAGGACTTGCTTCGTTGTTGCTGTTAATTCCAGGTTTAGGTTTCTTGACGTTTCTAGAAATATATCGCTCTTTTCACAAACTTGAAAACTTTCAGAGTTACTTCTAAGGAAGAGAGCGATATGTCTCTCGAAACGTCAATAAACCTAAACCAACGATGTAACAACTGACCTGGAAATTATTCTATCAAGCCATTTTGATATTATATTAAATTTAAAAGAAAGGTCAAAATACTTAAAACTTATTTTTTACAATTTCTGTCTGCGTTTAGTAAGATTGTTTTGACTAAACCCCATATTTAAGCAGTTCTTGAGTTTTCGAACAATTTTGTTAAATACAGTTTTTAACAAAAACATAAATTTAAGGTACTTTTTAGGGAAAATTTCACATTTTGAAATTTTTTGGACGCCCTGTATGTTTTATTACATATATTATTACTACCCATGGCTTCCCCAGATAAGGGAAACTTTTTATCAAGAAAAACTTTTTCTGGAAAAATGAAAATGCAAGCAAATTAACATGAAAATAATAAACAAATTTAAAAAAAAACTCCTATAATTTTAGATGTTTGGTATACATGTATTAAAATTTTATACGAAATGGTTGTTTAGGTTTTAATTATATTATAATAATAAATGTGAAAATAAAATTGTTTTGAAAAAGTTCCCGATCGGAAATAAGTAGTAAGTTAAGTAAAAAAAAATGCTTCTGTTTTCTTGCACCTTTTTTTCGGATATTGAATACTATTAGCATAAGCTTTATTAATAAACTACTGCTAACTGAACTATGAAGCGAACCAATTTTAATTTACGAAAAAAAATATCTTCTTTACTCCGCGGGCTATATGCCCCGACCGGTATTGAATTATACTCGCAACACCTAGTGCAACAGCTAGGATCGTTCGTGAGTTTAACCCACCAGGCATAGACCAGTTTCGGACTTATTAGTCCTCATCAGTTTGTCATAGGTGAGACAACCGACTAACGATCCAGCCGTTATGCTGCCGTATCCTCACGACAAAGAGGGAGGTACATTGTAGGCGGAGCGCAAATGGCTCCGCTCCATCTGTTGTGCTGACTCCCAACTGTGCCATTCAAACGGCTACAGTAGGAAGCGACCTGCTATATTGTCAGGTACTTTGTTGCACGACTGCCGCCCACAAAGGGCGAAATACAATGTTTTTAATTGCCAGTGTTGCGAGAGACAACTACTCCACGGGCTATATGCCCCGACCCGACCGGCATTGAATTATATTCGCAACACCTAGTGCAACAGTTCGTCAGTTTAACCCACCAGGCACAGACCGGCTTCGGACTTATTAGTCCTCATCAGTGAGTGTGTGGTAAGACAACCTACGAACGATTCAGCCAGTCGTTTCCTACTGTAGCCATTTGAATGGCACAGTTGGGAGTTAGCCCGACAGATGGAGCCATTTACTCTCCGTGTATGTGAGATAATTTTCTGAATAATTGTATAGCTGGTGTTCCACATGGACATCTATAATTCAGTTGAAAGAAGAATAGTTGTTGACCTGCCTAACTGGTGGAATTTAAAAAGAACTATAATTTTAAAAGAGACATCTAAAAATGCAGTACATTATGACCTTCTACTACCACAATTGCAACATGTCCTTCAATTTTACCAATTGTTTGTTGAACCTTTAAAATGTGGAGTACCGACTCATCATGCTTCAGCAACATTAATGGTAACATGGGGAAATCAGGACCATCATGCCTATTTTACGTAAGTATAATTAATTACTTTTTACAAATTATCCAATTACAGGAAGATTTTTAACCTATATGCATAAACTATAGGAGCTTAAATTAGAGCTTTTTGAAATTATCTCTTAAAACTTTGATTTCACATTATTTTTTACATACAAAAGTTATGATAAAATCTTTCCAAATGGTTTTAACAACCAACGCGAACCTAAACTATTCTTGGAGTAGCAGCATTAAGGCAATGCGGTAATTATTTAATTTGTATTTGTACCTATTTTTATAATCTTGTGAAATAGACAATAGGAGTAGATCAGCAGCATCACTTTCATCATTTATAAGAAAAATCATTACAATATATAAATTAAAAGTCCAGCTGCATTTTCTCACAGCTTAACCACATGGCAGTTGTTGGAAACACCAATTTGTTATTCAATCATTCTGGATCCATCAGTATAAAAAATTTTAAAAACTTACGTAACTTTCCATCTAAGGGAATTTGAACTATCCTAAGTGACCACATTCCTTGATACTTAGCGACCTAGCGACTAAACCTAATGAGGTATTAGGTATTACATTATATTATACAGTGTGTTTCATTTCAAATGGATACAGAACTATTACTTCCTTTATGAGGGAGATAGAGAAAATATGTTTCAGTTATTGCTTAAGGGCGATCTTTGTGCACTTTTCGGCACCACAGTATAGTCTCGATCATCCTATGATGGCATCAGGGAGAAAAAAAAATAAAGTAATCAGTGGCCATTTTCCTAATAAAATTATTAAAATGTATATAAGTTTTTATACGATATCAGTATCAGTCGGTTTATTTTCAAAATGGCGGACAATCTTCTGATTAAATGTAAGAGCACATCACTTAGAATATTAAAATTATGAGAAAATGTTTCCCATAAAATATGTTTCAAATCCAAAGTTAATTTTAATTCAAAATTTGATCACTTTTTGTTGATTCATTGCTTAGAAAACTGCGTATCTATGTCCCACCATTGTGTACCGACACTATTGGAAATAATCTGTCTATTGCGATTTAAAGCAGGCTGCTGACAAATACGTAATAATAACTTAAGGATAATTGGATATTTCTTATTTATAATCATTTCGTACAGATTAGATTATTGTTATGCAAATTTATTTATTTAAATACATATAGAAGCTGATATAATGTAGTTACATATTTAATTAAGTAGTAATTAAACTGAAGTAAAACAATATTAAATTAAGGATTAAAAAACCTGTACCTATAATTAAGTGGAATTTCAGTAATAAAATAATATGTTATGCTATGATATAAAATAAAAATGAAATAGAACAACACCTACATTTTATGTAGTTCATCTTTCAAATAAAAACTAAAATCAACAAAAATATTCAAGGTTATACATAAGTACATTATTTTTCAAGATAACCTCCTTTCATCTCTATACATTTTTCTGTGCGCCTTTTGGTTTCCACTATGATTGAATGTGTCCATCTGGTATATCGGCAATTGCTTGTCTTATTCGTTCTACTGGTTCTCAGTTCTCAAGTGGTGTTTTGTACTCTTTGTTATGCTCTATCTTCTTGAAAATACATATTTCTACGCATTTTCTATAGAAAGAAGAATAATAAGAATCCCTTTTTTTTTGTATTAACTAACTTTCTTGAAATGTAATATTCCCGAGACGAACTCAATTCTGAAACTGAGAAAATTCCCCTCATGATCGGCGGTTGTAAAGAGAATTTCATCGATTCGACGCATATTAATTGGTACATAAATTATAATTGAGGGTTTTTCTGTAATACAAAATGTGGACAGGTTTATCAATATTATAGGAATTCACTAAGTTACATTCCACGCAGACTAAATTATCTTTAAAATTGTTTATAGGGTCATTCCACGTCAAGTGGCCTAATTCAGAAAATCGTCCCCACTCGACCATCTCCTATTTTGGTGTAGATGTGTAAACATATCGGGAAGGAGGTTCTTTGAAGTTTTAGCTCCATATAAGTAGATATATTAGGCCGGTTCTGTACCAGGAAGTGACGTGGCAAGGTCACCCCAAGGTCACCTGGGGTCAAAGTCACATGGTCAGTGTCCATCGCTCCTTCAGCGGCTTCTTGTGGGCATTGTCGTTGTGCAAGTGATGCGTGGGTGTTGGCATGCAAGAAGTGTCATGGCGGCATGGAAGTGACGTCATACAAGAAGTATCATGGCGGCATGGAATTGACGTCACATGACCAGTTGGTGGTAAATTTAAAATTAAATCACGATAAGGGGAGGTCAATTACCTCCAAACAGCATTGCGTCATTCTTATCTGGTATTGCATCATTCGAGGCCAATGACCTCCAAACAGCATTGCGTCATTCTTCTCCGGTGTTGCATCATTCTAGACCAAAGTCACGTCAAGGTCATCGATCTCTGATCGTCTGCGGCCAAGGTCACGTCAAGGTCATCGACCTCTGGTTGGCTGAGGTCGAGGTCAAGCCAAGGTCATGACCTCTGGCCGTCTGGGGACAAGGTCACGTCAAGATCATGTCAAGGTCATCGGCCTCTGGTCGTCTGGGGACAAGATCACGTCAAGGTCATAGTCTGGAGTCAAGGTCATCGACCTCTGGTCACCTGGGGTCAAGGTCACCTCAATTTAAGACCTGTTTTCTACAGGTCCAGACTTGTTTTTACTGATTCAGACCTGTTTCCTACAGGTTCAGACATGTTTTCTACAGGTTCAGACCTGTTTTCTACAGGTTCAGACTTGCTTTTTAGTATAAACTGTAACCTGATATATTATTTTCTTTATAATTGTAGTGTTAGCAAAAATTTTAGCCTCTTTAGCTCAGTGGTAGAGCGATAGTCTTGTAAACCGAAGGTCATGAGTTCAAATCTCACAGGAGGCAATTACAATTTTATCATTTTTTATTTTTATCATTTTATTATTTTGTTTATTACATTTTTTGTCAGGTGTGGGATTCGAACCCACGCTCCTTTTGGGAACCAAGGCTTGAACAAGGCGCCTTAACCACTCGGCCAACCTGACTCGATAGGTATATGAAAAAGAAACGAGAAAAAAACAATTTTTATATCTATTTATTGGCATAAGGTAGGTGTAATACATGATGTATATGGAATAGTTATTTAATATCATATTCAAACTGTTGCTGAAAGTTCTTTATAACATAAAGTACAAAATTTTATATGCATTCCACAAATCCAGCAGACTTCCACATGGGCGCAAGGTAGAAACATAACGTTTCGTTCTCGCTTTCGACATATTCGACAAACCTTTTCAGGCGGTCCCCAGCATTCGTCCTCAGGAACGGAATTTGGCATTACTTCGATTGGCTTCCTACCAGACATTACGCTCTCTTTAAAAGCACCTATTGCTACACTTCACTATGATATACTGAAGAATAATTGGACATCTAATGATTAAACTTACAGAACAAAAGTTGTGTTTTAGTCCCTTTGTTTTCTGATAACAACTTGATTATTATACAATGGAGGTTATAAAGTAAATAAGTCCAGAAATTGTATTCAAATCTGTTTTCGTATTTTCAGACGCTACGATGAGTGCGTCTGCGTATACATCTTCATAATCGGAGCAGTTTAAAATAGGTAATGACCTCCAGGTATCAAAATCTCCAATCGACTTATTTTGAAACGTTATTCTCAACTTGTAGAATTTAGAATGTTCCGGAATTGACGCCCCGAAGACCCTCAGCTTTCCACCATTAACTATATTACGTCTCATCTGAATTAAGGTATGTGGGCATGTATCATTCTCGCTAACGTTTCTGTAGCACACATACATTTCATGTACGTTGTGTATATCATGTACGTACAACACATTTTGTAGTACTGCAGTTAAAATTATGAAATTGGAACGTAAAACAACCATTGTTGTTAAGCAACAGACCACTGTCTATAAACGAATGAGGTACATAATGATTTGTAAAGTCTTATAACTGGTTTTTCTTATTCATGAAAGGTAGAGGGAGAGAGGAAATAAAACAAACAAGGACAAGTAAACATATATTAAGCATATTAAAATAACGTAATTGGTACAATTCTTGTAGATATATGTCCATTCTTCGCTGCGGAAAATCGATGAGGATTCGTAAATACGTCATCCCACTTGTCTTGAATGTTCATCTTTTGAAACTGTTTAGCCATTTTACACTGGTTATCGTAGTGTGTTATTTCGGATTTTAGTTGGCGAATTTTTTCAAGATGTTTATCTTGGTTTATAATGGCTTGAGAATTTTAGAAGTCGTTTCAATTCTTCTCTTGAATCTATCTCTATCCGCAGCAAAAAATTCCCAGTATCTACGCCGAGCTGCAGTAGATGCAAAACTCCACGTTTTCATTAGATGCACTTTATTTTTAGATTCGTTGAAAGTAACTGTTTTCTTCTTCATTGCGGCAATAGGTTGTATACCCAAAGGAAAAAATCTTCACAGTTCCGCCTTCTGCATCTGACTGTTTTATTTGGATTCATATGATATGAACAACGGAGTACATCTACTTGGAAACGTGGTGGGGGGTTATCCCAGTAATTTTCACATTTTTCAACGTTTACCACATTGGGTAAGTGCTGCCAGCTGGAGGGAACCAATTGCGGTAGTATTTTCTCTAAATAATCCAGCTGTTCACGTCCTTTCACATAAATTATATCGGTACACAGCAAATGATCTTCAAGTATAGCGTTCAGCGCACTATATTCTACGTCTCCAGATGAATAGCGGATGCCGTGGATATTTCGTTCCGTATATCTTACTTGCTTCTGATTCAGTCGAGATAATCTATGGAAGCTTGTAGGCGGTTTAATGAAATAATGGCTCACTTGTCGCGCATCCTGAATCGTGATTTTCTTAGGATAAAATTCATAACCTCCATCGGTACTCAGTAACATAAAGCCCTGGATGTCTAGCGCCAAAACCTTCATCTCGGACGATTATCAAACGACTAACTAACAATTACTTATATTTATTTTTTAAGCTAGATTTTTTACGATTTCGCTAAGTGGGAGGTGTTCCATGATACAATCATGTACAATTATGCAATAGGCACTGGTATTATCAGGAAAATCTTTTGCTGCTTCAATATTTAATCTTACGTCCACGGTAGATGATTTTATGCTTTCATCCCGCCTCGAGCAATCGATGACGAAAAGAGCGTGATTCCTAAAGATGAGGTAATCTAGTAAAGATTTCTTCTGCAGCGTATTCGAGTAACTTGGATAAAACTCGGTGTAGTTGTATACTGAGCTTCAGCGTAGTCGTTATTTGCAAAATTTAATCGCATCCTCTCGATACGGAAGCTCTCACCGTTTAGCGTTAATCTAATGTTGGTAATATCAATGTTATCAAAGTGTGTAGGATCTTCCGTCAATTTGATTTGTTTGGCTGTCTGGAAACCGACGATGACGTATCTAGGGTTTTCGATCGCAGAAGTAGTCTTAACGGACCAAATTTCTTTTGTAGCGCCAGGCGTGAGCGCAGGTAGCATATGCAAATCCCATTGTCTATACGGTATCAATATGGGCGTATCAGCTTTGATGGCTTTTAGTAAGCTAAGTTTTATTTCGTCGTTAGGGTGTAGCCGTTTAATTTTAACCTCAATATTTTGAATATCCAGAGTCACTGTGGTTTTATCGGTAGCCACCTTCTCCTTAACCAAGAAACAATTGGAATCGTTACTGGCTCTTATCAATTTGATACATTGCTTGCTACACGTTACCATGCGGTAGTCATTGAAAAGATTGAAGATATGCTTCAACGGGACGAGGAAATTAAAAGTTCCATCGGCGTTTAGAGTTGGTGCATCAGGATAATTCCATCCGGCTATAGATAAGTGTTTGGAATCCTCATCGGAATAACACAAGTATCCGCGAACGGTGCTCACTAGACCAACTTCACGTATACTTTCCAGTTCTTTGGCGTTTATTTCGTATGTGGCTGACGAAAACATAAAGGCCACTGCGTTGTTTACGAACGATACGCCTCCATTACCAACCTTTGTAATCTTCCCGCTGATAAGTATCTGACCGTCGTAAGTAGCATCGAAAACATCGGCTTGATTGATGATGATTTCAATGACGTCGTTGTTTCTGAAGGACTTTACGTATGGATAATACGTTCGCCATTCCACCTTTTGTATGGATTCGTCCATTGAGGGACGGCGAAAAAGATCGAACGTTTGATGCGATGACATTATAACCCAGAGATTTTAGGAACAAGGTGTTCGTTAGAGACAGAGGCTTAGTGAATGCAACCTTATCGTGAGAGGAGTACCGCGATACTGACGCGTACCTCGATAGCGGCTCCTTTATATGATCAGGTCGAGAGTTGTTGAAAACTAGCATTATTCAAGTTTCTTAATCTCCAATCGAATGATGATTTCTTCACCTCTGAAATTAACGGGTTCGAAATTCTGGTCCAACACGTCGATTGTAAGCGTGCTTATTTCAGTTCTATTTATCGGTAGATAGATGAGGTGATTTGGTTCTTCGTCGATGGCAAATCCTGGGTCGACCCTTACAGGAAACTCGTATATAGTATGTGACGGTCTATCGTTGTAGAAGGCTCCCGAAGTAATGTTACAATCCAGGTGGATGGTATGTACTTTTATAATATCCACCGGTAAATCCGATTTGTGAAGGTTCTTGGATTCTAGGAATTTGTTTGAAAATCCCAACGTCCTACCGAAACTGTCTTCGGGTTCAAAGTCCACAGCGTATTTATCGCTGTATATTTCACACCTTAGAGTGTTATTGTTAGGTTTTAGAGAAAATATCTGATCAGCGTTGGGGTCTTTGTCGATCTTTAATTCCTTTCTTATATGATTTTCAATGTCTCGAATCTCGTATGAGCCCTCGTCAAATTTTATAACGACTTTCTTGTTTTTGTTTTTGTTTTTTTCGTTGCTCTCATACAAGTAAAACTTTTGATTGGCTTCGATGTTGGGTATGCTGTTGTACGAGTAAAAACAAAGAAGAGCCAAGCCGTAATTGAGTTGTGGATCCAAACGTATGATTGGGTTGAAATTGAGTGTTAGCGTGGACGTATGACTCTTTAGCGCCACTATTGTAGACATGACTGACAAATTTCATCTGGTACCGTTGCTTTTATAGAGAAACTGTAGACATAGATGTCCGCAATTTATTTGATCATAATTTTGATAACGATCTACGTTATAGGTTATGTTCACGTCGCTGGCTCCCAATTATCGAACCAGTTCCTTAGGTGGTTTCAAATGGCCGAAACTGTCAAAGTACTCTACATCATTACCGTTTTTCTTATAAGCTACCCAGTGAGTGCCTCTATTCTTATTCAAGTCTAAATTTAAAATGGCACTTTCTCGCAGCCGCGAACCTGTAGTTGGTAAGGTGTCTCGCATGAAAACGCCTCGAAAAAATGGAATTCGTAGTCGTTTGGCGTATCTAATCAGGTCCCCGTCAGACAGTGGTTTATTGGGTAGCTTTATTGGCAGTTTTTGTGTTTTTTCAAGAATAAACCGTAGCCACCGTGTCGATTCTTTCTCAAATATAGGCCAGATCCTTTAGTCCCGATAGCTTCCATGGCTTCGTTGTGTCGACGCTCCTCCATAAGTTTTTTTTTGCTGCATTTTTAGCATCGATTATGATCTTCGCAAAAGCCCCCGCGCCCCCCGCTAGTGATCCGAGGGCACCTAGTATAGGCATTAGAAGAGGTAGGAAGCCTCCAGTGTTCTCCGGCGGGGAGCGATATGATTCTTGGTATGCGAATGTTTTTCTTACCACCAACCCTTTTAACTGCTATTCTTGCCGCTTTTAAAGCCGACAGAGCAGTTTTTCTCAATGAACTACCAGGCTGCTGTTTTTTTAAACTGTGCGATTTTTAATACAACGTCTCTGCGGAACGATGCGGGTTGACGACGTTGTCGTTGTCCACTCTTTTTCAAACCCATTCCGAGATTACGTTTCGCCTTCATAGCCGTAGTTACGAACCAAGCGGCTGCTTTTTCTCCTAGTTTTGCGTCTTTAGATTTAACGCGTTC